AAGCCTGGGTGACAGAGCAAGACCCTGTCTCTAAAAAAAAAAAAAAAAAAGGGTCACAATGACTCTACCCTTTTCAAGATGAGGAAATAAGTGAGAGAGCTGAGATTCAAAACCTGGGCTGCCTGGGCTGCCCTAGTAAAATACATCCATAGGCTAGATGGCTTAAATAACAGAAAATTATTTTCTCAAAGTTTCAGAGACTGGAGTCCAAGATCAAGATGCCAGCATGGTCAGTTTGTGTTTCTTCCTGGCTTGCATAATCTTAATTATTTCCCTACAGTTCCCATCTCTAAATACAGACACCTCGGGAGGTAGAACTTCATATAAATCTGGAGGACACAAACATTCAGTCCATAACACCAGCAGTGTCTCACACCAGACATAATTAGAAAGACATAATCAGATAGTTAAAAATATCTGATTTGTTCTAATACTACATTAGGTATGAGGTAGGGAACAGAGGTGAGTGCACTTAATTTGCTTCACTTGTTGGTCTGAAACTTTAATTAAAATCGGGCTGCCAACTTTTCAGACATCTAGACGCATACCTCCCACAGAGCTTTGCTAGGGAACACTCGAAAAGGTTCCTGGATTTAGAAGTCTAATTTGGAAGAGAGAAAGAGAGGGAAAAAAAAAAAAAGTAATTCTGCTGACCTCTGAAGCCATGACTCAGAAACAATGTTTTTAAAATTTATTCCCCAAATCAGATATGGTTTGCTGGGAGGCCCAGCAGCCTTTCCAGTTAATGGCAACAGGTAAGGGGAAGTTTCTTTGAAGTTCCTCCAAAGATGTCATTTGACGAAAGGTTGAACTTATTTCTTTTTATGGTCAGATTGTTTTGGTCTTGATCATTGTTCTGAAGAAAGAATGAAGATTGACTACACAAATATTTCAAACCCTTCTTTCATTTCCTCCTTTTTTGCAGAAGCACCCAGTTTAATCAGGATATTTGCTTGCATTGTAATTATTTACTTAAAGGACTTCTGGTATGTTTTAAACAAGTAATTCATTCTCCTTGTAAATTGTGAGGTAGAGATTGTATATATTCCCAAGTATCATTAAGCTAGAAAGCTGGTATGGTTAATTTGCCTTCTGAAGATCAATAAATTCTAAAATATTAAATGAATATAACTGGATTAGGATTTACAAAATACAAATTTGTAGACAAGGACAAGGAGCTGCAAAGGAGTGGCAGTTTTCTCTTGGAGTATTATTTAAACCTTGGTTCAAACCCCTGACTCTTTTCAGTTATAAAAGAGCAGTTCTCTCCAGAAGAGTTCAAATGTTGTTTCTTGGATTTTTTTTTTAGTTGGAGTCTCACTCTGTCACCCAGGCTGGAGTATAGTGGCATGCTCAAGGTCATTCTAGCAGCGACCTACTGGCCTCAGGGGATCCTTACATCTCAGCCTTCCAAGCAGCCCAGAACTACAGGTGGGCGGTACCATGCCCGGCTAATTTTTTTTTATTTATTGTAGAGACAAGGTTTCACCAAGTTGTCCAGGCTGGTCTTGAACCCCTGGGCTCAGGCAATCCTCTTGCCTCGGCCTCCCAAAGTGCTGGGATTATAGGCTTGAGCCACCGCGCCCGGCCTCTTGGAATTTTTTAATCACAATTTCGTTTGTTATTTTAATCTTCCTTGATCCAGATCCAGAGACTTAGGGAAAAAAAAGTGTTTTGTTTTTTTTTTCTGGACATGGATCAAGAACTTAAAGTGAATTTTCAAAGTCTCAAAGTGGAGCTGCTTTGGGCTACATTAGACATGTATTGAAATAGTGAGAAGAGTGTCAATTGTCCAGAGAATAATTAAAACTGCTCCACCCTACCAAGACTGAGCAGAAAATGTATCATGTTCAATACTAAATTAATTCTTGATATGATTACAGTTTGAAATGTAGGCTAAAGAGACCCTTAGGCAGTGCTGCTTGTCACCAAACAGAATTTTCCAAGGCCATAGTGACAAAGGGGCCTATCTATCTTAGTGAAGGTCATGTCATTAAAAAGTTATGGCTTAACATCAATAAGGTATCTGATCTCAAACCAGGCAAAGTGGTGGGGACCAAAGGGAGGCCCAAACTTTGCCTATACGATGAACACTTGTATACCTAATCCTGAATTGTACCCCTCATCTTTAAAATTAAAAAAAAAAAAAAAAAAGTTGTGGCTCTTGGGCAGAGGTTGGCAAAGTCATGGCCAAATCTGGCCCACTGCCTGTTTTGTAGATAAAGTTTGACTGGAACACAGTCCTATCCATTTGTTTATTACCTATGGCTGATTTTGTGCTACAATGAGTAGTAGTTACAACAAAGGCCATAAAGTCCACAAGTCCTAAAATATTTAGTTTGGCCCTTTGGAACTGTTTTTTCATTGTAGTGCCTTAAATTGGCCCTATCCCCACTTCTTCATTCATTGACCTACCTAGGTCAGGGGTATGTTATATCAAGTATCTGATGAAGAGCTGACCATCTAAACTTTAATTAGCTGTGTTTCCTGTGACATGACAAACTTTCCATTGATATTGAGTCACAAGTTTAATTAAGATGATATACATGATAAAAGCATATCTCTTCTCAATTAGCAGAAGCTGGAAGAGAAATATACAGAAACTTTATTATTTATTTATTTTATTTTTTGAGCTGGAGTCTTACTCTGTCGCCCAGGCTGGAGGGCAGTGGCACGCTCCCGGCCACTGCAGCCTCGACCTGCTGGGCTCCGGCGATCCTTCTGCCTCAGCCTTCCAGGTAGCTAGAAATACAGGCAAGCGCTACCATGCCTGGTTAATTTTTTGATTTATTGTAGAGATGAGGTCTCACCAAGTTGCCCAGGTGGGTCTCGAACCCGTGGGCTCAGGCAATCCACTCACCTCAGCCTCTGAAAGGCACGGGATTACAGGCTGAGCCACTGAGCCTGGGCAGAAACTTTATTTTTAAAACTTTAGCAACAATTAGAGGGGAATTTTCTTTAACTTGATCTTTTCTTCTATATTTGAAAAATATTTCATCTTTGTTAAATTTTCCTTGGCTTCTTCAAAGTTAGCTGAAATAAACAGAGACATGATATCAGGTTTTTCATTTTAAGCAAGAATAAAACCAACACTAGTGACCAGGGCAGCCATATAAAAGCTGAGTTCTGGGTTCTGGAGGGCCCACTAATTACTCAGTGACTCAGCAGTGGAGAGGGGAAACATTTGGATTGTTATGGAGGCAAAGGAATGTTAACCAAAAAGGGACAAAACAGGCAGAGTGCAGTGGTTCACACCTGTAATCTCACCAGTTAGGGAGGGCAAGGTGAGGGATTGCTTAAACCAGGCTAGGCAATATAGTAAGACTTCATCTCTACAAAAAAATAAAAATATTAGCTCGGTGTGGTGGCACATACCTGTAGTGTAGTTTCAGCTACTCGGGAGGATACCCTGAGCCTGGGAGTTTGAGACTGTGGTGAGACATGATTGTGTGTGCCACTACATACCAGTCTGGGTGACAGAGTGAGACTCTGACTCAAAAACAAAACAAAACAAAAACCCCAAACAAACAAACAAACAAAAAACCCAAAAAGGGGCAAAAGCATGCTTGTTTACAGGATGAGATAAATTAGACAAGCTGTTGTGTTTTACACGTTTTCCACTAGTACACACAAGGTGGTGTATCCTTGAAGAGGGTGTGGAAGCACTGGGTGTTTCCTCTGTGCCAGGTGATTCTGGTATATAGAAATGATGTCCTTAGACCAGTGATTTTCAGTTGGTGTGTGTTTGCCCCAGGGATATCTGGCAATGTTTGGAGATATTTTTGGTTGTCACAACTAGGGAAGTGGTACTGACATCTAGTGGGTAGAGGCCAGGGATTCTGCTTAACATCTTACAGGGCACAGGACAGCTCTTTACACTCAAAGTTCAGTGGGGCCAAGGTTGAGAAATCCTGACTTAGGAAAGTATAATTGAATGTGATGAGTACTGAAATGAAGATATGTTATGACTATCTGCATAATCCCAGATGACCCCAAAATAAAATATTAAGCAAAAAAGCAGGCCAGGCTTGGTGGCTCAGCCTGTAATTCCAGCACTTTAGGAGGCCAAGGCAAGTAGATTGCCACGGGTTCGAGGCCAGCCCGGGAAACTTGGCGAGACCTCGTCTCTACAATAAATCAAAAATTAGCCAGGTGTGGTAGTGCACGCCTGTAGTTCCAGCTACTTGGAAGGCTGAGGCAGAAGGATTGCTGGAGCCCAGCAGGTTGACGCTGGGGAAGTCATGAGCATGCCACTGCACTCCAGTCTGGGTGACGGGAGTAAGACTCCAACTCAAAAAAAAAAAAAAAAAAAAGCTAGTCATAGGAGGACACATATGGTATGATGCTATTTATATGAAGATTCAAAATATGCAAAACTAAATAATATAGTACTATGTCAACTATCAAGAAAAACAAGGGAATGATTAGTACAAAATTTAGGAGAGTAGTTACCATGAAAGGGAGATGTAACGGCTAAGGGCCTATTGGGCACTTGGAAGGCTCTGGTCATGCTCCATTTTTTAAACTTAATTTACTTAACATATGTGTGTGTGTGAATGTGTATTTAGCTGAGACTGCGGGCGCATGCCACCACACCTGGCTAATTTTTTGTAGACATGAGGCCTTGCTATGTTACCTAGGCTAGTCTCAAACTCTGGGACTCAAAAAATCCTCCTGCCTTGGCCTCTCAAAGGGTTGGGATTCCAGGTGTGAGCCACTGCACCCTTAATTTACTTAACATATTTAATTAATTAATTTATTTATTTCCGCCTCAGCCTTCCGAGTAGCCAGAATTACAGGCATGTGCCACCACGCCCGGCTGATTTTTTGATTTACTATAGAGATGAGGTCTCGCTGCCCAGGTGGGTCTTGAACCCGCGGGCTTAGGCAATCCACTCACCTCAGCCTCCCAAAGGCGCAGGATTACAGGCTGAGCCACCGAGCCCGGCTTATTTTTTTATTTTTAAGAATTTATTCTTAGCTGGGCTTGGTGGCTCAGCCTGTAATCCCGCGCCTTGGGAGGCTGAGGTGAGTGGATTGCCTGAGCCTGCGGGTTCGAGACCCGCCTGGGCAACTTGAGGAGACCTCATCTCTACTATAAATCAAAATGAGCTGGGCGTGGTAGCACGCGCCTGTAGTTCCTACTACTTGGAAGGCTGAGGCGGAAGGATTGCCAGAGCCCAGCAGGTCGAGGCTGTGGTGGCCGGGAGCGGCCACTGCACTCCAGTCTGGGTGACAGAGTGAGACTCCAACTGGAAAGAGAAAAAAAGGATTTATTCTGAGTTGTGTACCATCACGCCTGACTAATTTTTCTATTTTTTTGAGGAGATGATGTCCTCCTTTCTTGCCCAGGATGGTCTCAAACTACTGGCCTCAAGTAATCCTCCTGCCTCATCCAACTAAAGTGCTGGGATTACAGGTGTGGGCCACCATGCCCGGCAAGAATTTCTATCCTTTTTAAAGCCAAATAATACTTCATTGTATAATGTTCCATTCCATTTTAAGGCTGAAAAATATTCCACATTTTGTTTGTTCATTTGTTAGTGGACACTTGGGTTGTTTCCACTTCTTGGTTATTGTAAATAATGTTGCTATGAACATGGGCACACAAATATCTGTTTGAGTACCTGTTTTCAAATCTTTTGGGTATATAACTAGTAGTATAATTGCTGGGTCATACAGTTTTTGAGGCAGCTGCATAATTTTAGATTCCCCCAATCTAAAATTTTGCTGATTTACATGGCAGCTGCATAATTTTAGATTCCCCCCAATAGTGCACAAGGGTTCTAACTTCTCCACATCCTTGCCAACACTTGTTATTTTCTGGGTTTTTATTATTTCTTTATATTTGCTATCCTAATGGGTATGATTGTGATTTTCTTTTCATTTCCTTAATGATTAGTACTGTTGAACATCTTTTCATATACTTATTGGCCATTTGTATACCTTTTTTGCATGTTGTATTTCTAAAACTGAGTAGTGGGGACATGGCTATTTGTTCTATTATTACTCTTGTGGAGTTCCTCTATGTCCTTACTAATTTTCTGTCTGCTAGATCTTTTTATTTCTTATAGTGGGGTGTTGAAGTCTCCAACTGGATTCATCTATTTCTCCTTGTAATTCTATCAGTTTTTCCTCACATATTTTGATGTTCGATTGTTAGGTGTGTACACATTAAGTATTGTTATGTCTTTTTTTTGAGTTGGAGTCTCACTCCATCGCCCAGGCTGGAGTGCAGTGGCATGCTCACGGCCACCCTAGCATTGACCTACTGGGCTCAGGCAATCCTTCTGCCTCAGCCTTCCAAGTAGCTGAAACCCAGATAATTTTCTTTTTTTGATTTATTGTAGAGACAAGTTCTCACCAAGTTACTCAGGCTGGTCTCGAGCCCCTGGGTTCAGGCAATCTTCTCGCCTCGGCTTCCCAAAGTGCTGGGATTAGAGGCTTGAGCCACCGCGCCTGGCCTGTTATGTCTTTTTAGAGAATTGGCCTTTGTATATATAATTATGTAATGCCAGTCTTTATCCCTAATAACTTGTTCTGAAGTCTGCTCTGTCTTAAATTAATATAGCTATTCCTGCTTTACTTTGATTAGTGTTAATATGCTATATCTTTTACCATCCTTTATTTTTTTATTTTTTGAGTCAGAGTCTCACTCTGTCACCCATGCTCACAGCCACCACAGTCTCAACCTGCTGGGCTCAGGTAATCCTTCTGCTTCAGCCTTCCAAGTAGCTGGAACCATGGGTGCATGCCACCACGCCCAGTTAATTAAAAAAAATTTATTGTAGCGACGAGGTCTTGCCAAGTTGCACAGGCTAATCTTGAACCCCTGGGATCTACCTCCCAAATTGCTGGGATGACAGGTGTGAGCCACTGTGTCTGACAATCATCTTTTATTTTTAATCTACATGTGTTTTTATATATATATATATATATATTTTTTTTTTTTGAGTTGGAGTCTATGTCTGCCAGACTGGAGTGAGGCGAGTCTTGAACCCACGGGCTCAGGCAATCCACTCACCTCAGCCTCCCAAAGGCGCGGGATTAAAGGCTGAGTCGCCGAACCCGGCTATGTGTTTATATTTAAAGTGGGTTTTTTTGTAGACAACACATAGTTGGGTCCTGTTTTTGATCCACTCTGACAATCTCTGTCCTTTAGTTGGTACATTTAGACCAATGAGGTTCAAAGTTACTATTGATATAGTTGGATTAATATCTAACATCTATGCTATTGTTTGCTAATTCTTTCTATTGTGTTTTGTTCCTATTTTTGTCTTCCATACTTTGTCTGCCTTTTGTGGTTTTAGTTTAACACTTAAGTCCATTTTCTCACTTTACTTAGATATACTTCTTTTTAAACTTTTTTTAGTTGCCCTAGAATTTGCAATATACACTTATGACTAATCTAAGCCCACATTCAAATAACACTATACTGCTTCAAGGTAGTGTACGTATTTTCTAATAAAAGAATCCTAATTCCTCCCTCCTGTCCCTTGCATCATTGCTGTCATTCATTTCACTTATATGTAAGCATATATATAAAAGCATACAGAATTGAATACATTGCTATTATTACTACTGTGAACAAACTATTGTTAGGTCAATGAAGAAAAATAAAAGTTTTTATTTTACATTCACTTATTCCTTTCTCCAATGTTCTTCCTTTCTTTGTTTTGTTTTATTATTATTTTTTGCCAGTATCTCCCTCTGTTGCCTAGGCTAGAGTGTAGTAGCACAGTCATGGTTACTGCAGCCTCAACCTGCTGGGCTCAGATGATCCTTATGCCTCAGCCTTCTAAGTAGCTGGTACTACAGGCCCACGCCACCATGCGCCACTAACCTTTTAATTTATTGTAGAGATGAGGCTTTGCCACATTGTCCAGGCTGGTTTCGAATTCCTGGACTCAGGCAATTCTCTTGCCTTGGCCTTCCAAAGTGCTGGGATTACAGGCATGAGCCACCATGCCCAGCTGAGTATTATTATTTTTTGAGTTGGGGTCTTGTTCTGTTGCCCATGCTGGAGTGTGGCATGATCACAGCTCACTGCAGCCTCGACTTCCTGGTTGAAGGGATTCACCCTCCTCAACATCTTGAGTAGCTGAGATTACAGGTGCATACCACCACATCTAGCTGATTTTTAAAAATTTTTTTGGAGAGATGAGATTTTGCTATGTTACCCAGGCTTGTGTCGAACTCCTGGGCTCAAGCAATCCTCTTGCCTCAGCCTCCCCAAGTGCTGGGATTACAGTCGTGAGTCACTACACCCAGCTTTTTTTCTTTATGTAGATTCAAGTTTCTGATCTCTATTAATTTCCTTCTCTCTAAAGAACTTTTTTTTTTTTTTTTTGAGTTGGAGTCTCACTCTGTCGCCCAGACTGGAGTGCAGTGGCCGCTCCCGGCCACCACAACCTCGACCTGCTGGACTCCAGCAATCCTTCCACCTCAGCCTTCCAAGTAGCTGGAACTACAGGTGCATGCTACCACAACCGGCTAATTTTTGATTTATTGTAGAGATGAGGTCTCGCCAAGTTGCCCAGGCGGGTCTCGAACTCGTGGGCTCAGGCAATCCACTCACCTCAGCCTCCCAAGGTGCGAGATTACAGGCTGAGCCACCGAGCCCGGCTCTCTAAAGAACTTTTTTATTTTTTTATTTTTTTTGAGTTGAAGTCTCACTCCATCACCCAGACTGGAGTGCAGTGGCTGCTCCCGGCCACCGCAGACTCAACCTGCTGGGCTCCAGCGATCCTTCCGCCTCAGCCTTCCAAGTAGCTGGCACTACAGGCGCGTGCTACCACGTCCGGCTAATTTTTGACTTATTGTAGAGATGAGGTCTAGCCAAGTTGCCCAGTCAGGTCTTGAACCTGCAGGTTCAGGCAATCCACTCACCTCAGCCTCCCAAGGCATGGGATTACAGGCTGAGCCAACCGAGCACAGCTCTCTAAAGAACTTTTAACAGTTCTTGCAAGGCAAGTATGTTGCTGACAAATTCCATTCATTTTTGTTTGTCTAAGGAAGTCTTTATTTCTCCTTCAATTTTGAAGGATAATTTCTTAGGATACAGAATTTCAGGTTGACAGATTTTTCTCTCAACACTATATTGCAGTCTGCGTATCTCTATCTTTTTCATCCTGCTAAAGTAGAGTGGAAGCACTTTGTCTTATCTAATGTTTAATTGACATAGCACTTTTTTGGTACACAGTCTCTCCAGCAAGACTATGACTCCTTATAGCTAGAAATGTAGATTCACATACATTATATATTTCCATACACCTATCATAGGTTGGGTATATAATAGCTACTTATTGAATGAGTGGTTATGCTGCAATGCTTACAATTTCTTTCCATACTTAAGAAAATAAAAAAAAAATGAAGAATGTACCTTGTTCAAAAGCTCTGCTCACATTGTCAGTAAATTCTTTCTGTTTAGCTAAAAGAGAAAATCATTCTATTAATACTCCCATTTAAATAGAATCATAATATGAAGACAACATTTTATAATCGTGTTGGTTTGAACACAACAAAGGAGGGAGCTCGGATTCAAGGAGAAAGCTTTATAACTTTTGTCTCTATACACATCATGACAGCAGCTGTTTAGTTCAGCACTGATTGATATTACTTATATTCTGTGTTTCTAACCATGAAAGGTCTGAGGGGCAATCATTAAGTCTTACAGTGGCTACAGAATCATTAAAACACACACACACAGCCGGGCTCGGTGGCTCAGCCTGTATTCCCGCGCCTTTGGGAGGCTGAGGTGAGTGGATTGCCTGAGCCCGCGGGTTCGAGACCCGCCTGGGCAGTGAGACCTCATCTCTACAATAAATTAAAAAATCAGCCAGGCGTGGTAGCACACGCCTGTAATTCCGACTAGTTGGAAGGCTGAGGCGGAAGGATTGCCGGAGCCCAGCAGGTGAGGCTGCGGTGGCCGGGAGCGGCCACTGCACTCCAGTCTGGGCGACAGAGTAAGACTCCAACTCAAAAAAAAAAAAAAAAAAAAAAAAATCGTGTATTCTTACATGTAAACTTCATTCACCTTCAAAGTACTCTGTTTGATGCAATACTCCTATCAAGATGCTTTTTCCATTGCTCAAAACAGTTTCTGAACTCATCACTAAAAGGTGCTTTCTGTCTCTTCCACATTGGAAATATTTCCCTTTGAGGACTTGTTTTATTGGGGAGACAAAAGTCACTCAGAGTGAGATCGGGTGAATACGGAGGGTGGGGTACAGGGGTCATGCCATTTTTGGTCCCAAACTGCTGAATTCTCAGCACAGTGTGGGTAGATGCATTCGTAAATCACCCATCATAAAATGGAAAAATGTATTGAAAGAATCTCAAAAAACAAATTCAATGAAACCAAATGCAGCCTCTTTCAACAATGCTAGCTGATACACTGATGCTGATGGGTTCCTAGAACACTTAACTAGCAGAGGAAGCCTGTATACAAGGGGCTTGTTCTCCAAAAGATAATTCTGGGGTTTTTTGGGTTCTTCTTGTTATTTCTGTTGATTCCTTGTTAGAAAATGAGGAATTTGATGCCGGGCGTGATGGCTCAAGCCTGTAATCCCAACACTTTGGGAGGCGAGAGGTGAGAGGATTGCCTGAGTCTAGGGGTTCAAGACCAGCCAGGGCAACTTGAGAGACCTCGTCTCTACAATAAATCAAGAAAGTAGCCGGGCATGGTAGCAGGCACCTTGGAAGGATGAGGTGGAAGAATTGGCTGAGCCCAGCAGGTCGAGGCTGTGGTGGCCGTGAGTGTGCCACTGCATTCCAGCCTGGGCACAGAGTGAGACTGTGACTCAAAGAAAAAAAATAAAAGAAAATGAGGAATTTTACAGTAAGTACATTTTTCAGATATAAATAGTATCAATCATTTATATGTACCTTCTTCTTTTTTTTTTTGAGTTGGAATCTCACTCCGTCACCCAGACTGGAGTTCAGTGGCCACTCCCGGCCACCACAGCCTCAACCTGCTGGGCTCCGGCAATCCTTCCGCCTCAGCCTTCCAAGTAGCCGAAATTACAGGTATGCGCTACCACACCCAGCTGATTTTTTGATTTACTGTAGAGATGAGGTCTAGCTGCCCAGGCGGGACTTGAACCCACGGGCTCAGGCAATACACTCACCTCAGCTTCCCAAAGGTGCGGGATTACAGGCTGAGCCACTGAGCCCGGCTGGTATCTTCTTTTTTTAAATTTTTTTTTGAGTTGGAGTCTCACTCTGTCGCCCAGACTGGAGTGCAGTGGCCGCTCCCAGCCACCGCAGCCTCGACCTGCTGGGCTCCGGCGATCCTTCCGCCTCAGCCTTCCAAGTAGCCAGAACTACAGGCGTGCGCTACCACGCCCGGCTAATTTTTGATTTATTGTAGAGATGAGGTCTCACCAAGTTGCCCAGGTGGGTCTTGAATCTGCGGGCTCAGGCAATCCACTCACCTCAGCCTCCCAAAGGCGCGGCTGAGCCACTGAGCCTGGCTTGGTATCTTCTTTCAGAGCACTTTTAAATACATTATATCCCCAAGATGGGCAGTGATCAGTATTGGAGGAATTACCCCCATGGTCACATGGTTGTTGAGTGGAAGAGTTCGCAACGGAATTCAAGTTGGCTGATTACCAGCCCAGTGTTTGAAATTCACTTCTTAGGTAGCAATTTGGTGCTGGCCAAAGAACATTGTAATAGGAGTCTGGAGGCTCTGAAGTTCTGACCCCAAAATTAACTGGATCTAGCCGGGCTTGGTGGCTCAGCCTGTAATCCCGTGCCTTTGGGAGGTTGAGGTAAGTGGATTGCCTGAGCCCACGGGTTCAAGACCGACTGCAGCGAGACCTCATTTCTACAATAAATCAAAAAATCAGCCGGGCGTGGTAGCGCATGCCTGTAATTCCGGCTACTTGGAAGGCTGAGGTGGAAGGATCGCCAGAGCCCAGTAGGTCGAGGCTGCGGTGGCCGGGAGTGGCCACTGCACTCCAGTCTGGGTGACAGAGTAAGACTCCAACTCAAAAACAAAAACAAAAAACTAGCTCTATGCCTTTGAACATTGACTTTATTTGAGCCTTAGCAGATACCTTAGATGAAGAAATTTAGAAGCTGATCAAGTCAGTCATTCATTATAGGGAAGAATAAGTGTTTTACATTCTTTATTTTATTTAACTTTTTAAAATTTATTTTTATTTTTAGGGAAAAGGTCTCACTCTGTCATACAGGTTGAAGTGCAGTGGCATGATCAAGTCTTGAGCTTCTCAGCTCAAGCAATCCTCACATCTCAGCCTTCTGAGTAGCTGGGACTACAGGCACACTCCACCACACCTGGTTAATTAAAAATTTTTTTTGTAGAGATGGAGTCTCACTATGTTGCCTAGGGTAGTCTTGAACTCCTGGGCTCAAGCAATCCTCCTGTCTTGGCCTCCCAAATGCTGGAATTATAGGTGTGGGCCACCGTGCCTGGCAACTTTATGTTATTTAATTTAATCTCTATAACAACCAGTACTCATATTGTTTCCATTTTACAGATGAGGAAACTGAGGCTCAGAGGGGTGAAGTCACCTGCCTAAGATCACACACAAAGTCAGTACAAGTATTGGGACTGAACCCAAGTAACCTTATTCCAGAGTTTCATGTTGCCCTGCTTTCCAAAATAGTACAAGCAGGCTTTCTGACTCCTCCAACTCCTGAGTTTCTTTTCTTCCTGCACCACCTAGCTCTAATGTTGTCAATACATCCCCTGCTAACAGTCCCTTCACCACAATTTCTATTTTACTGCTTTAAATTTCTCTATTCATTATTATTTACTTATTCAATACATATTTACGGAGTCCTTATTCTATTCCCAGTACTTTTCTGTGATCTGAGTATGTGAGGGAAGCCAACAGCAGACATGACTTCTACTTCTGTAAAACTTTCAGTCTAATGGAGGAGGCTGATATTGATCAAATAATGTCGCAGAGAATAGAAAAGTTATTACTAGGATTAGTCCTATAAATGAGAGGTACCCACTACTAAAGTCAAAAAAGCCTTCTCTGAGGAAGTGATGGTTGTCTTCAGATCTGGAGAAGATTAACTTAGATGGGATAGGGAAACAAAGGGTTTCACACAGAAGCAATAGCATGTGCAAAGACCCAGGGGTAGGAGGGTGCCTAGTACAGATGAGGAACTGGATGGAAGTGGCTATTTTGGCAGGAATAAAGGAGGTGAATGGAAGGGAGCAGACGTCAGCCCATGCAGAGCCTTATAAGGCATATAAAGACTTTGGTCTTAAATCTGAGAGCAGTGGAGGCTGGGAGTAGTGGCTCATGCCTGTGATTCTAGCAGTTTGGGAGGCCAAGGTGAGAGGACTGCCTGAGCCCAGGAGTTCGAGACCAGTTTAGGCAACATGGTGATATATTATCTCTACAATAAATCCAAAACATTAGCCAGGTATGGTGGTACCTGTTAATAGTCCCTGATACTTGGAAAGCTGAGGTGGGAGTATAGCCTGAGTCCAGCAGTTGAGGCTGCAGTGAGTTGTGATTGTGTCGCTGAACTCCTCCTGCTTGGGTGACAGAGTGAAACTCTGACTCAAAAAAAAAAAAAAAATGAAAAAGAAAAAAACATCTGAGAGCAGTCAGAAGCCACTTAGTGTTGTTGTTGTTGTTTTTTTGAGTTGGAGTTTCATTCTTGCCCAGGCTGGCATACAGTGGCACAATCACTGCTCGTCACTGCCTCGACCTCCTGGGTTCAGGTGATCCTTCTGCCTCAGTCTCCCAAGTAACTGGGACTAGAGGTGTGCACCATGCCTGGCTAATTTTTTGAATTTTTGTAGAGATAGGGGTCTTACTATATTACCTAGGCAGGTTTCAAACTCCTGGTCTCAAGAGCTCTTCCTACTTTGGCCTTCCAAATGCTGGGATTACAAGTGTGAGCCACTGTGCCCGGCCAACCACTTAGTTTTTTTTTTTTTTTTTTTGGTT